CTGCTAGAGTCGTGGCTGCTAGAGTCGTGGCTGCTAGAGTCGTGGCTGCTAGAGTCGTGGCTGCTAGAGTCGTGGCTGCTAGAGTCGTGGCTGCTGGAGGTGTGGCTGCTAGAGTCGTGGCTGCTGGAAGCGTGGCTGCTAGAGTCTTGGCTGCTGGAGTCTTGGCTGCTGGAGGTGTGGCTGCTGGAGGCGTGGCTGCTGGAGGCGTGGCTGCTGGAGGCGTGGCTGCTGGAATCATCAACACTAGAGGCATGGCTGCTAGAGTCGTGGTGGCTGCTGGAAGCATGGCTGCCGGAGGCATGGCTGCTGGAATCATCAACACTAGAGGCATGGCTGCTGGAGGCATGGCTGCTGGAGGAATCCTCACCATGGGACAGACAATGGCCGGGGGAGGGGCCGGTGCACTGGCCCGAGCAGGACTCATGGCAGGGCAGGCAGATCTCCCCGCGCAGGCGGTACATCCCATCCGGGCAGGGGTACGGCACGCAGTGGCCCGTCTCGGACAGGTGGTGGCCCAGCTGGCAGGCGGTGCACTCGAACTGCGGGTGCCCATCGGCGTCGAGCACCGGGCGGCCCTCGTCGTCGGCGGTGACCCGGCACTTGCGGCACTCGGCCGGGCAGGCCACACACCGGCCCTGGAAGTCCGCCGTGCCGGGGACCGCCTCGCACTGGGACACGCACATGGGCCGGCCCTCATTGTCGAAGTTCGGCGCCAGGCGGTCGAAGGCCCGGCGGCAGGCCACGCAATTGTCCACCCGGTCGCGGCACACACAATTGTCACTGCAAGGCAGGCACTGGCCATTCGGCGTGCCATAATGGTCGTACGGGCACTGGGCCACGCACTTGCCCTTGTGCGCGAAGTGGCCATTGGTGCAGTAGGTGCACTCGTTGTGGTCCTTGCAGTGGGTGCAATTGGGCACTGTGCAGTCGACGCAATTGGAGAAGATGTCCTTGGAGTAGCCATCGGCGATGTTGCACTCCAGCATGCACCGGCCCTGGAACTCGTGGATGTACCCGGCCCCGGCATTGCAGGAGAGGCAGAAGTCCGCCCGGTAGCGGCACGTCCGGCAGGGGGCCTCACACCGCCGGCAGGCATTGGACGCCTCGTCGTAGAACTCCCCGGTCGGGCAGGCATCCATGCAGATGCCATTGGACAGGGCGAAGCCCGGCCGGCAGCGCGTGCAGGTGGCCCCATTGCAAGTGTCACACATGGCCGGGCAGCCGAAGCAGCCATCGCCGCTGGCCACCGACCCCTTCGGGCAGAAGGGCTTGCACCGGCCAAATTGCAAGTACGTCCCCGGGTGGCAGGAGGTGCACATGTCCGGGAAGTTCAGCAAGCAGGTCCGGCAATCGCCGGCGCAGGAAGTGCACTTGCCCTCCGGCGTGGGGGCCTGCCATGGGGGGCAGGCTTCCAGGCACCGGCCATCCAGGCTGAGGAAGCGCCGGGGGATGCACTCCATGCAGACATTCGGATCGTCCGGGCTGCAACGCAGGCAATCCTTCGGGCAGTGTTGGCAGGTGGAGGTTTTGGTTTGCTGCACCGTGCCCACCGGGCAGGCCTCGGCCTGGCACCGGCCCACCTGCACCCGGGTCTCGAAGAAGTACTTCTCGGCCATCGGCACCAGCCGGTCCTTGGGCCCGGCGCAGGAGAGGCAATCCGTGGCCCGGGGCCCGACACACTCCGAGCAGGACCCATGGCACTTGAAGCAGGCCGGCTCCGGGGCTTCGAAGTGGCTGCCACCGGCCCCGGCCCCGGGGGCCGGCGGCGGGATCGAGCACTTCAGCAGGGCCCAGTCGCCCGGGGTCCGGAGGATGTTGCTCTCCGAGTGGGCGAATGTGGCCATGGGCCACCGGTCACAGGCGAACCCCTCCGACGGGAGGGCCTCCCGCGGCAGGCAGTGCTGCCCGCAGCGGAACTCCCCCGGGGCGCACTGCCGGGTGCAGGCCCGGTGGCTGTCCAGCAGGAAGCCCTCCGTGCAGGCGGCGCACTCCGGCATGATGTTCTCGTGGGCCGGCACGCAGCCGGTCCAGGTGGCCGTGTCGTGGTCGGCGCACCGGCCGGAGTCCAGGCGCCGGGTCCAGCAGAAGTCGCACTTGGTGGCGTCCTTCCGGCAGTCCGAGCAGTGCCGGTCGTCCTGGCACCGGGGCAGGACCCGGGCGTCCTCCGTGATGGTGGTGTTGGCGTACTGGAAGGCGATCGGCATGCACCGGCCCTTGATCAGGGCGTAGCCCGGCTCGCACTCCTCGCAAAAGAGCGAGTTGTACATGGACGTGGGCGAGGCCCGGCGGCAGGGGGCGTGCGGCACCACGCAAATGGACTTCATGTCTGTGCGTGTTGTTGTTGTTGTTGTTGTTGTTGTTGTTGTTGTTGGCGGCGGCGGCGGCGGCGGCGGGCATCGGGTCAGTGGGCTGGGCAGCCGGGCCAAGGGGCGATGGGGAGCCGGCGGCGCGCGTGCGCATGAGGGCAGGGCCCTACGTACGGGGATTGGCGCAGGGCCAGTCGCCCTCCTGCGGGTCGTCATACCGGGGGAGGAGGATCGGCGCGTCGACCGGCGGCTTGCGGATGATCCGGGGGGCCACATTGCCGAGGGCCAGGACCTCGGCATTGATGGCGGCCACGGGCGGCGGCGGGGCCCACAGCAGGCTTGCCACCAGCAGGCCGAGGGCCGGCAGCAGGCCGGCCACGGCGCGCGGGAGCGGGCGCATCGGGGCTGTCTGGCAGCGGCGGCGGCGGCGGCCAGGCGGGGGGCGGGGCGGGGGGTAGGGGCGCGAGCGGGCGGCTGGCGACGACCGGCGGTCGGCGTGGTGTAGCGCGGGGCTGCGTGGGAATGTGCGTCGCGGTCCAGCACGGGGGGGGGGGGTAGGCGAGGAGGCAGGGGACAGGCGCGGGGCGGAGGCGGCAGGGGCGTGTGTGGGAGGGGGCGCGTGCGCGCGCGAGTAGGCAGTCGTGTTGGCGGACTTTGGCTGGTGACGAAAGGCTGGGGACAATGGCCCGAGAGGTGGCCCTTTTTATAGGGTGCTCGTGCCGGGCAGGGGCCGGAGGCCGGGCAGGGGAGGCCGCGTGCCGGGTGTGGAGAGCCGGGCGGGCGGGCGGCGGTGGTATGTGGACATGGCACGCTGGCCCGGCCAGTCTGCCGGCCCGGACTAAGTACACCCCATCGGCTGCCTCGCGGCGAGCAGGCCTCGGCTCCTGCGGCCGCCGCCGGCCCTCCACCAGCGGCGGGGCCACCTCAGGCACGGACCGGCGCCTCCGGCATGCCTGCCACCCCGAGCGCGCCAGCCACTTCGAGCAAGCTGGCCGCGCCAGGCGGCCCCTTTGGGCTGCGGGCCTCGGGATGCGTGTGCCGGCGCATGCCGGGCCAAACCCCGAAGGATGCATGAGCAGCCCCCCTCCCCCTCCCAGGCCGGCAGGGTGTCTGGCGGCCTGGCGACCCGGCCGGCCCCGGCGGCAGCCTCCCCGGGCTCTCCGGCCGGTGCCATCGCGTCTGACCGCTCAGGGCGCGGGGCCGGGGGGGGGGGGGGGGGGGGGGGGGGGCAAAGGGGACCGGTCCGCGGGCCTATGGGGCGTGTCGGGCCTGACGGCCCGGCCACCGCCCCTCTCGGCCCGGGCGGCCAGTGTCGGCCGCGGCGGCCATGAATCATGACTCCCGGAAGATGGGGAGCGATGCGCGTGCTGGCGGCCCCGGCCTCAGATATGCCGGCCGGTAATATCCCGGTATTGGGGCCGAGGCCGTGCACGAGATGAGATCTCGGGCTTTGGCACTCTTGGCGGGGCGCGGCCGCCCCTCGGGGCTGGGAGGCCCAGCAGCTCGGCGGCCGCCGCGGTGGCAACGGGCCGACCACACACACACACACACACACACACACACAGACCCAGGCCAGCGGCGCTGGGCGGCCGCCAGCAGCAGCCCCCTGCCGGCGGCCAGGCACCCGGCGGAAGGTGGACCGCTTGGCGCGCACGCCGGCCGGGCCTCGGCAGGCCGCCAAGAGGGCCGCAGGCCGATACCGCCAGGCCGAGGCCGAAAAAGAGGGGCGACCAGGAGGGGCCGAGCCATTTGGGCCGGGGCACACGATCGCCGGCGCCCGCGCGCGCCATCATCATCATCGCCACCGCCGGGGGACACCGCGGCACAATCTGCCGGAGGTTGCCGCGCACACGCCCCGGCCCCGGCCCCGGCCCCGGCCCCGGCCCCGGCAGGCGGTCTTGGCAGGCCGGTGGCAGGCGCGCACGCACGAGCACACCCCCGGCGACGCTCATGCGCGCGCATGATGCCCCACACGCGGGCACCGGCCGAGGCGTGTCCATGCGCCCGGCGCAATCCGGCCTCCGAGTCGGCAGGGCCGGACACGGCGCTGGCGCGCTGGCGCGCTGGGTGGGGGGTGGGGGGGGGGGCAGCCTCGGCCCCGATGCCGGCGGCGCTGCCTCCGGCGCCCGGGTGGCACCGGCTCCGGGCCTGCTCCCGGCAACGTCCCAACGGTGACGACCGGCCTGCCGGGGCCCCGCGGTCGCATGATCGCACCCCCGGCCGAGGCTTTCGTAATGGGGCCCCGGTTCTGTTGCACCGAATAGGTGGCGCGTTGTGTCGGCCGACAGAACGCCCCCCCCTCCCCCGAGGGCGGAAGTTGTCCTGGCGCTCGGCGGCGGCGGCCATGCGTGCCTAGCCCGGGCGAATGGTGCGCGTACGCGCCGCGCTATGTGCCCCGCCCGCCTCCCATGCCAGTCACACCCGGGTCGCGCCGTCGGGCCATTGTGCCGGAGCAGGCCCGGGGACGCGTGTGCGCGCGCCGTGGTGGCCGCAATCCGGCGATCCGGCCGCGGGCCCAGCCCGGCCACGACGCTTACCCGAGAAGGGGCGGGCTTGCCGGGCGGCTGGCTCCCCCCGGCCCCTTCCTTCCCCCTGGATCTCGCGCACCTTGGTGTGCCGGGTGGCCGGGACGCGGGCGGGCCAGCTGGCAGGCCGCTCCGGGGCCCATGCCGCCGGCCCCGTGTTAATAGGAGCCCGCGTTCGGTCGGACCGGTTGGCGCGCGGCGCGCTGGTGGGCGCCGCTCTTGGTGCGGCGATCGGCTGGTTACGGCCGGACGCAGGGCCCCCTTTTCCGGCCCCCCCCCCCCCGGGCATTTGGCCCGGACCAGGGGCCGGGGGGGGGGGGGGGGGGGGGGGCGCGGGTTTTCCTCCCCGAGCATACCTCGCGCCGGCCCTGTCCCCGGGGGTGCTCCGCCTCCGGCCTGCGGCGGCCCCCCCTCCCTTCGCCTCCCTGCGCGGCCCTCAATCATCATCCTCTGGCCGCGCCGGCGGCCGGGCGCGGGTTGGTGGCTGCACAACTCCTGGCCGCCGGGGGAGGGGGGGGGGGCGGCCCACAGGCCGCCTGGGCGGGCCCGCCCCGGCGAACGGCGTCCCCGCCCTCCCCCCCGCCCTCCACCCCGTGCAAAAGCGCCGCCCAGCGCCATTGGGCCGGCCCCCCCCGGGGGAAGTTGCGCACCGGCGGCCGCTTGGCGGCCGCGCCCCCCGGGCGAGCCGAAGGCCGGGTGGCCGGCGGCCGCGGCTCGCCCGTCCGCGGGGCGGGCCAGCGTCACCCTTGGCCCCTCCCCGCCTCCCGCCCCCCCCCGCGCGCGCGCCAGCGGGCGCTCTCGCGTGCTCGGACGCGGCCCTGGGTGAGGGGCCAAAAAGAGTAGCGACTGGTGGTTTCGATCCACCGACCTTTGGGTTATGAGCCCAACACGCTTCCCCTGCGCCAAGTCGCTCGGTCCTACCGGGTGCCCCCATTCTGGGCTATATGTGCTCGGGGCTTCGTTGGCTGTTGGTCCGGCGGCCGGCTTTCCCCGCTCCCTCCCGTCCCGGAGAGGCAACGCGACAGCGCCCAGGGGCCACACAAGCCGACAGGCCTGCACACCGCGATGCCGGCCCGAACACCACGCCCTCCCCCCCGAGCAAGAGGGTTCCATCCTGGGCGTGCGCGCACACACACACACACACACACGCTAAAAAGCAGCAACAACCTCAGCACACACACGTGCAAACGACCGGCACGCCCTCGCACGGCTGCATCGGCCCCCGCCGCCCCCGGCGACCGAGGGCCGAGCACACAGGGGCCGGTCAGGGGCCATAGGGGCGTTTTTCGCCGCTGCATACCCGCCGGCCGGGGCAAACCGCCACCACAGCGCCCCCGCCAGCAACGAGCCGGGGCCCTATGGGGCTTGTCTGGGCGGCCCACCAGCCGGGGGGGGGGGGGGGGGGGGCCCGGACAGCTGGTGCATCGGTCTGGGCACCGCGCGGCGGCGCTGGCCCGAGCGTCACCCGGCGGCCGAGGTGGGCGTATGCGTATGCGCGCGCGCGCGCGCGTGCGTTGCATCCCCCGGCGGGTGTGTGTCGCCCCGGCGCCTCGCCGCAGCGCGGTCACACTCGAGTTGCGTGTGTAGGTGTGTGCATGCGCGCGCGGGCGCGCAGTGGTGGTGATGGCAGCTAGGCCCGGCGTATTTTGCCCCGCAGCGGCGTCGCCGAGCAGCGCCCGGCCGGGTACCGGCTGGCCGGGGCGGCGTCACGGTCGGTTCGGTGACCCAGGGGTTTGGTTTTTCTTTTGGCGGCTGCCCGGCCGCCTCTGGCAACGGCCTGGCCAGCGCGAGGCGGGTGAAACGCCCCGCCCGCCGGCCCCGCTGGTCAAGGAGGCATGACAGCAGGCCAGGACACCCGGCAGAGGGCCTCGCCGTGTGTGCGCCGCGTTGTCCGCCTGGCCGGGCCCCGGAGCAGCGGCGCAGGCCGCGGGCCCGGCCCGCCGTCGGCCCCCGGGGTGAGGTCGGACCCGCCGGCGCCGATTGTGGGCTGGGCCAATTTTCGCCCCGGCATGGCCCAAATTGGCCGGAGTGATCTCCGGGCCCCGTGCCGGGCTCACGCGCCGCATTGGCCAAGTTAAAGCCGGTTAATGGGTGAACACGCGCGGCCGGCCTGGCCAGCTGCCGGCGGCTGCTCCCGGGCCCCGGCGGCGCGCTCCGGCCCCCGGCCGGGCTGTCGTTTCGTGGGGCCGGCCTGGTCGCGTGTGCGCCCGGAGCGGCACGGGGACCCCCCCTTGCGTGCGTGCGTGCGTGCGTGCGTGCGTGCGTGCGCCCCCAATCGGTGTGCCCTTTGTTTACATGGTCGCGCCCTGGTCGCGGGGCCTGCCCGGGCGAGGCGCAGGGGGAATTGCGAATGCCACGGCCGGCACTTCGGCGCGCCCCTCACCCTCTCGGCCCGGGAGCCCGAGCCCCGGCAGCGTCCGCAAGGACACACACACACACGGGCCGGTAGTGCCGCCGCCCGTCCTCGGCACCCTGCTGCTCCCGGGAACCCGCCACCCGGCCGCGCACGATACTCCCCGACAGTGCCCCCCTCCCCCCTCTTTCCCGCTCGCCTCACCCACAGTGCATGGCGGCCACCCGGCCCCCCGGCGGCCTGCACGCAGATGGCGCCAAAGGATTGTGGGCTATTTGCCCGGGACGCAGGCCGACTCCCGCCGCCTGCGGCAGGCCGGCCCCTTTTTTGGTCGCGGCCCGCGCGCGACAACCCGCCTGAGAGCGGCCGCACGCCGCCCAACCTCGAAGCTCGCGCCCTCGCGCCCGCCCGCCCGCCGGCCCCCGAGGGGCGCGACACCCTGGGCGCCGGGGGCCGCTCCTCGGCGACCGGCCCCACCATGCACGCGGCCCATCACCGGTGACGGCGAGCCGATGCTCCGCCCCGCCCCCCCCTGCCCCCTCCCGGGGCCGGCCGCCGCCTCGGCAGTCGCCGGCAGTGAGGGGACCGCTGGCCGGGCCCCCGGCCGAATGCCCACGCGCGTGTGCACGCTGCCACAGCGCGCGGTGGTCCTGGCCCCCCCTGCGCCCCGCCCCGCCCCGCCCCCCCCGGGCCAGCGGGGCATTAACTTCGGCCTCGCCACCGCTGGCCCGGCGTGCCTCCTCGGCAACGGGCGCGCCACGACCACCCCCCGTCGGTCCTGGCGCTGTCGGTCGCGGTGGCCAGCGAGGCCGCCCCGGCCCGAGCCCCCCCCCCCCCCCCCGGGCCTGACCCCCGGGCAGGGCGATGGAATGCACTCCCGGGGGTGGGGGGGTCGAGCCAGGGAGGGGCGCCATCGCGCGTGCATGGGCGCCTGCCCCCCCTCCCGGCCGGCGATGCGGGCCACCCCGGGAGATGCCACTCGCCCGCGTCCTAGGAGGCGGCCCAGTGAGGGCCGAGGGCGGCCAGGAGGGGGCCACCGGTGGGAGAGTCGTCGCCGCCTGCGCACCCCCGGCGGCAGCGCGATGTCGCCCGGCCCGCTGCCGGGCCTCCCCCCACACGGCATGCCGGATATGGAGCGCTCCACCGGCCGCGGGCCGGCCCAGTGGGGGGCCGATCCCCGGCGGCCGGGCTGCCGGGGCACCGAAATCCGGGGCCCGCCGCAGCCCGCCCGCCCGCCCCCCCCCAGACACCCTGCCGCGGCGGCCGCCGAGTAAGGCCCGCCGCCCCCCCCCTCCACCCCCCGGTCCAAACAGCGCCTGGAGCCGGGGATTTAATTCCCCTCCCGCCCGGGTGCCGGGGCGGGCGCCGGCCGGAAATGGCCCCGGCACGACGGCGGGTGACATCGGCGGCCCGGCCCAGGGCCCGGGTACCGGGCCCCCGGCGCGCCCGCTGCCCTGAGCCACCGTCCGCGGTTCCTGGGAAGGCCTCGGGGTGCGCCAGGGGCCCGGTGCCCGCCCCTCGCGGGCTCGGGTTCACACCTTCGCCCCCGGGCCGGGGCGCCTGCGTCCCGAGGCCCGGCGAGCCGGGCACCCGCCGGCGTGCCCTGCAACCGACAGGCGCCTGCGCACGTATGCGGCATCTCGCCGAGCCGCCCCCCGGGCGCCTGCCGGTCAGGATGCCCGCATGCGCCAGCCCGCGTTTCCAACTGGCACGAGGCCGGGTCACCAACTGGCAGCCGCGGACCGAGGCACTCCCCCCCCCCCCCCCCCCCCGGGCCCGGTGGCCGCTCTCTCGCAGCTCGTTCTCGGCTCCTCAAGTGA